GTTAAATATAAATGAGATTTAATTAAAATAAAATGAAATAAAAGTTATTAGACAAAAAAAAAAAAAGTTAACATTAAAAAATGAAAGTAATCGAGTAAAGATAAAAATTAATCCTATGATCATAAAACTTCGTTAATAATTATATAATAATTCTAATCAGTTTTATATAATAGTATAATTTGTATTAAAAAATTGTTATTATGAATGTGATGAAAATTTAGAAAATTCATTCGAAAAGTATGAGTAAAGTTACTACAAGGGTTTCAAGAGTATCGTATAAAAGTTTGTTATACCTACGAAGGGGTAGATAAAATTAGAGGCCTACATCCCATAGGACGTTTGATATTTCCATGGAAGAGGTTACGCTCGTGTCATCGATCGATGACGATGACGAGAAACTCTTCGATGTGATATCGTGCGAATGTCGCAAAGCTGACGTAATGGTTTGAAAAAGGTAAAGTAAAAGGGAACATGTGAGGTGTATGATCGGGTCTTTATAACGTCTAACAACTTTGACGTAATTGCTTAGAACACATACGTGCATATCTAAGACATTATATATATAGAAATATTTTCTATGTCGTCTATTTTTAGATTTTGGCAATCCAAATAATAGTAAATATCCAATTACTTTTTTTTTCGTAATAAAATATAAATATAAATATTGTTGTTCGAGTATTAATTGCTTTATTCGCATAAAAATTAACCCTTCTGTTAGGATAATTCGTTCCATTAGAAAGGGTGTCATTAATGAAATGAGTTCTAAATGAAAAAAAGTGTACATAAGATGACGTATATATCCGATGCTCGTAATGAAAGCTTTAGTGGTCGTTACTGGCCGCATAACAACGGAAAAAATAACAAAGAAATTGAATTTATTAAATTCGACTATTCGCGATCATTTTAAAAAACCTTGGATTCTAAATATGAACAAATCGTTTATGATTTCTGAAATTATTTTCCGAACGATCAAAAAATTATACGTTTGTCGTGTAAGTAAAGTATGATATAAAAATATATATGTAAATATATATTTAAAATATTATTTCAAATAATGATTTATTTAGTTCAATTAGTATAGATAAGTTATTTAGTTGATGAGACAATAATATATACAATTTGTTATTCTTTTTAATTAATACTATAGAACGCAAATTATTAAATATTTATTATTTCCACACTTATCTCTGAAAAAAATTATAATTTTTAATATATGTATGTTGAAATGAAATATGCTTCTTATAATTAGAAAAGATAACGTGCATAATTGGTAACAATTTTGAATTAACATTTTACGAACTACTTCGCATTCGTTATTCCGTTTACCGTTAAACGACCGTCTTTTGAAAAATATTATCTGCCTTATATATAGCCACAGGTAATATGAAATTTTTTAAACGCTGTATTCTCGTTCCTCGATTTTATCTGATTTTAATCTAACGCGCGTAGTTACACTAAGAAAACTAACTTATCGATCGAACTGACGCGATATTTGCGTTAATAAATAAATAAATAAAAGGAAAATCGATTGATAGATCGATCGCGATCGATCGATATTCTGTTTAGAACGTCAAATGCTTAACTCTTTGAGAATTCTGTATTAACCTAAGCAAAATAGGATAGAAGATAAGCTAAGAGTGATATTCATTCGGTTATAAAATCCACGCATTTACGTGCGTCTATGTTCACGTTTATATAGGACAGGTGACCGAGTTATGCGAAGGTCGTTGACCTTTTAGCGATATTGTATGACGTCATTGATTGTAGGACCAACTTTATTTACAGCTCTTACTTCGCCTATAGAGTCGTCTGTCTGTCTTCCCAAAGACCTTTCTCTGGTCTTTAACTTCATAACTTGATACTTTTATCTACAGGCTGTTGCAAAATATGTGGACATCATTTCAAGCACGATTTCATATCTCTCAAATGATCGCGAATGGTTGATTTTAATATATTCAACTTATCAGCTATTTTTCGAATTGTTATTCAACACTCTTAACATCCATCAGTACATTTAAAAAAAAAAAAAAAAAAAAAAAAGGGAAATATGACGAAAAAGCTCACTTTGATTATCAATTTTCCATACAATGGGAAATAAAAACTATTTGACGAATTTAGACACAAAAAGATTCTTAATCACGTTTCACAAGTGTCTATTGTTAGAGAGTATAAAATGATTTTTAAAATTTAAAATTTAATTTTATCGATAAACGTGACAAACGAAATCTCTGTACGTAAAACGAAATTACTTTCCCAACAATATATTCTTTCGAATATTATTCTTTTCCAATGTACGAAAAATGTTCAAAATTGGCGCCAAAAAATTTAACTCCTTTTGAATTGCAAAAAAATGTTCGCTTCATTTTTGTCGTAAGAGAAATTAAGAAAAAGTATCAAGAAGTAAAGAAGGGAAGGAAAATATTTTCCGAAAGTGTAAAGAGGAGAAGATCCTGGATTAAAAGAGTGTATGTATCGTGAGTTCATCGGTGTCATCGACCTCGAAGGAAGGAGAGCAGGAACCCGAGAGGCTAACGCATATAGAAGTGAGAAATGCAGGAGCCAGCCAGGAACGACGAGTGGAACCAATGAGAGAGAGAGGGATAGAAAGAAAATAAGATGGAAAGGGAAGGTGTATATCCAGGCTCCGGTAAGAGAGGGAGAATGAGAAAGAAAGAAAGAAAGAGAGAGAGAGAGAGAACGAGAAAGAGAGAAAGAATCAACCGTAATGAACCCAAACGCATGTGCCTACACATTATTCAACATAAACACAAACAAAAACACGAAAGTTAAATAAAAAATAAACGAAGGTAAAATATAAAATAAATAAAGCAAGAAATCCCATTCACCCTTTTTTCTCTATCTTAATGTTTACTTTATTTCCTAAGACAAATACGTACTCATTTATAGTATTTAAAACAAAAGTGGTGAAAGAAATAAACGGAAAGGTGCACCGAACTCCCTTTCTTATTGCACATTTTCTCATTAACCGAATTTTAATAGAAATGCGCATTACGTATCGCACTTTAAAACAAAAGAAGAAAAATTGGAAATAGGGTATACCCGGTGGTGCAAAAGTAAAAGTGAAAACAATTAAAACTTACCCCTTGCGTTCCTTTTTTATCCTAACAGAAGATGTCGATTCATCACTGTCATCATCATTCTCGTCATATGGCTCGTAAAAAACAACATTGGTTTTTCGTTCAATCGAGGCATGGCTGGTGCTATCCTCGTCGTACTCAGCCTCCGGATTTGCGACGAGCGAGTACATCGACGAAAAGACTCTCAATGAATAAAAGTTTGACGTCGACCGGGTCTACTGGACGACATCGTACTTCCTACCCTTTTGTTATACCTTAAGAGGGAGTACTTCACCCTCTTCCTCTCTACCTCACTTTTTCTATCTTTCACCTTCTTGCTATATTTGTTGTCCCCTTTTTTTTCGGTTCACCTATTATTCTTTTCTTTAATATATCCCCGAAGAAATTCAAATCTCTTTCTTACTTCCTCCCTTTCTTTCTCTTTCAGAAATACGAATTCTTTTCTTAATCAGTTTGACAGTGCACAGTTAGCCCAAGGCTGTATATACACACAATTACATATGCACATATATATATACACGCATATATACACGTAAGAGATTGATACGCTCGCCCCTACCAACGATGCGCGGCTAACTTCACCCTTCTTTCCTCTCTAACCCTCCCATCTCCACTACCACCCACCCGTACACTAGCGTGGCTCAGGCCAAACTGAGCTCCGGTCGAATCCTACTTGATTACTAGTAGCGACACCTCGCGAACGACTTCGGTAACTCGTAGGATGCAACGCTAATACATGGATGGTATATACCTGTGTATATCGGTCATATTTCATTTTACGTATTTCTCAACATTGCAACAAATATCGATAAGTTCAATAAATGTTACATACGGTGTAATACATTACGTATAGAATATTTCAATCTTTTTTTTTCCAAATTGTTACTTCATCGATAATTAAAATTCACTAAAAATTTAAATACGATATGTCCTGAAATCCTTCTAATATAATATGATGCAACTCTTTATCAATTTTAAATAAATCTTTCAATAAGAATTAATTTATTTTTCTCTAAAGCTCTTGCGATCGATAGATCCAAAAATTGACATTTTTTAGACAATTTTCATTTTTAATTGTATACTTAATTAAGATCAAAATAATTTCTCATTATTAATATGATTAAATCCTTGAATTCAAGACTCCAGGATCACTAGGCCCGTACCTGATAAAACAGGTCTCTTGAGGGACGTTCACGTGTAAGTGATGGTACTTCGATCGATGCACTCACCCACACAGTTGTAATTTGCCCGCCAAAAAAGACGAGTCAAACAATTGTCTGATATTTGGCGGGAAAAAACAACATTCCTCGTTTTTTATAAAAAAAAACAATACAAATATTTATGAACACACAGATGATCAATTAAAATATTAAACAATACAAATTAAGCGCGTGCAAAGTTGTGTAAATGGTTAACGTTTATAATTATTGATTATAATTCCATGATAACCTTGCAAATTGCTCATATCTTTTATCTAAAAACATTTCAATCGTAAAATTTATATCTTTGAATCTGTATGTAACTATTATACCCAACAATCACGATTATTATACTTCGAAACTTATATTCTAAATGTACAATATTTTTGCATTTATGTATGCACATAAGAAGTACATATATATGATGCATGTACATTGTAAATACACATAATCGATTGTAGCACGCAAGAGTCGATAACAGTAACGCTAACAAGAGACTCACCTACCTCCGGGATTATTCTTGTGTATTGCTCTAGTTGGAAAGCAGCCAAGAACGAAGAACGTGCCTGTTTCTTCTTCTTCTTTTTGAATTCGTTGTTCGAAAGTGGCCGCGACCTTGAGGTCGACGACGCCTATTACCACAAACGTTAGGTTAGTACTAGATAAAATGCAGATGAATTTACAGGTAACACAAAATATATACATTACATGCATACGTATATATTTGTATTATATAGGCCTTAAGAATATCGTCTCAAATATATAAAAATATGTACGTAAATACATATTTCATCTCTACGATCGATTTACTAATTTATTTAAATTTGTATGAGTTGAGAACACATATTTTCGTTGTATATATCTATACTACTCTACATTTATTACTGATTACAAAGTGACGTATATAAAAAATATAATGTCTCGATAAATCGACACACGGTCACCATGGCAGAAAGAAAAAAGAAATTATGTTTAGGACGAACGAATTATTGCTTTGATGATACTTCAACGTTGTTTCTTACTTAAAACATTTCGTACGAAATATATTTTATAAACAACGATAAAAATATTTCACGTCATCATGGACGTATTTAATTTTCTTCTTGTTTGTTTTACTTCAAAATACGAAAATAATTTTAAAGTAACAAAAAAATAAATTTCAAGCTCAATAAATAAAACGAGAAAGGAATATTATTATTTGTCCTTTTTGGTTTCCTCTTCGTCCTTTTCCTTCGGTTCTTCTTTACCGATCAGTAAATCCACATTTTCGGATTTTTTCGGCGACCCATCTAATTTGTCCGAAGATTTTTTATTGTCATCATGTTTCTTTTCTCTCTTAGATAACTTTTCTTCAGGAATCTCAGTTATCTTCACGCCTTCTTCGTTCTCACTTTCTTTTTCTTTCCTTTTAGCTTCCTCTTCCTCCTCCAACTTCTGTTCTTCTTCTAATAGATAATCCCAATCATTAATCTCACCGCCGTCACGCACCTTCTTCAATTCTCGCTTCATCATTTCGAAACATTCTCTTCTTTCTTTCCATTTCTTCATCATTTCGGCGTTTTGCTCCTCTGTACTCTCTCCTTCCAATATCATTGTCTTCTCTTTCTCTTCGCAATCGAGTATATATCTCTCGTAATCATCAACCTTGAAATAAAAAGAAATAAAAAAATTGGTATTATCTTTCATTTTGTAATATTTAAAGTAAACAAAAAAGAGAGAAAGTTTGAATATAAATTACTCTTTAGCAATAAAATTTAATTTGACGTACTACACAGTTTTGAAAAGAAATTGTATCTTTTGTTAATATTAGAACAAGTAAAAAATTACTATTGCCCATATGGTTGATAGATAAAACAGAATTTTCATGTACCGACGTTACCGACTCAACCCCAAAGTAACAATTATCCCCCCGCCAGGTGGCACTAAACTTCAAAATCTCTCGATCTCAAGCGCCATTTTTTAAAAAATTAAATATTTAAATGCTCAAATAGATATATACCTTATCCTGTAACATTTGTTGAACGTCGTTTTGTTTTTTCAAATGTCTTGGAAGCCAAAAGCAGGCTTGAAGAAGTCTCAAAAAAATCCAGACTGCTCCAGCTAATGCCAAGTAGGAAAAAGCGGTGAAAACCATATTCGAAAGGTCCACCGTGATTTGTTGATGCTTCATGGATGACGATTTTAACGAAAAATAAAATCTGTAAAGTATTTTTTAATATTTTTTTCTAAATACTTTTAAAGATAATTTCCTGTAACAGTACTCTTGAATAGTGAAATAATGTTTTTTTTTTAATAAGGTCATTATAAGTAGAGACTATACATAGAAGTATATAGTATATAAAAAATTGATGAATGTATATAACTAATCGATTATACGATATCTGTTTATCGTTGACATTATTGTGAACGTTGAGAACATATCGATTATAGTTTATGCGATGTACACTGAATACTCTTTCATAATGCATCATGCTACTTTACTAGGGAATAGTTATATACAACTGTACGTGTGTACGTGCATGTGTATGTATTTAATTTTTTCTCATAGAACAACCAATACTTTTATTTATTTGAAGACAGGGGAAAGGTAATAAAGAGTAAATAATAGACATGTATTTATATAAAATAAGAACTATTTAAAAAATAATTATCATCGCCATAATTCCCATCGATCGATTTAAATCGTGTAACATATACATACATAAGTGTGTTTAATATAAATAAAGAAACATAAAAAGTTCGTCAAAGCAACGTTCTTACTCACCATACCGTGTAAAAAACAAATCGATGTTAACATACATCTTCTCGTACAACGTATGTATGTCGCGCGTACTCGAAGAAATTATGTAAATAAAGTTAAAATGATAATATTAATTTTTATTGAGAGAATACTTTTTTCCAAAATCTTAAAATATATTTATATATGTATATCAGTAATCGTAATCATAATCGTGTAATATAACAAATAAATAAATGAATAATTAAATAAAAAATGTATGAAAAAAGTGTTTGATCTTGATCGGCACAAAAAAAAATGAAAGAAAAAATTTAAACCCTCTTCCAAAATTGTTATTATAAAAAATTGAAAAAATAAAAAAAGAAAGAAAGAAAGAAACGTTTTAATATTGATAATTTAATATAAAGTTTGAAATTGTTAAATAATAATAAAAGAATCAAAATGGCTACTTACCCTATTAAAAAAGATACATGTTCTAAAGTAGAACGAGCTCTATATAAATATCAGGATCCGCTACGTATCTTCTCTTCTTTTTTTTTTTTCTTCTCTTCTATCTTCTATTATAAGTGATGCCAGATTACAACTGTGAAGTAAAAGAAACTACGATGTGTCGGACTCTGCCGACTTGAACAGGGCTTTCCACTACTGACCCCTATCACACAACAATCGATATATGGATGAAAAGCCACGTATGATCAAGGGAAAGGAAAAATAAGACTAGGATAGTCTCGATAAAATCTTCCCCTTTTTTTTTTCGTTCTTTTTACTCATATTTTTTCCTGTCTCTCCCTCTCTCTCTCTCTCTTTTTATTCGATCATTGCTGTTTAGCATTAATAAGAAGACTCGTATATATAAATTAGCTTATATAAAATAATAATAATTTGAAATATAAAAACGAATGTGCGTAATGTGAAAAATTTCGATTATCAAAGTAAATGAAAAATTTATCGATCTCTCAAACGATTATCGTCGCGCTTAATTTAAAAATTAATATTATTTACAACGTATATATAAAATAATAATTATATAATAATGATAATAATAATAATAAATGTGTTACAATGACACACACACACTTGCTCATAAACACACAACAAATGTAATTTAAAATTTCAATTATCGATAAGTAGAGAAAGAAAAATTAACCTGTTGAGACTTTTATATATTAGCGGTAAATTTAAAAAATGAAAAACCTACCTTAACGTCCTTAATAAATGTATATACTTATTAAGTACATATGTATGTTTGTATTTATGTATGTATGATGTGTGTATGTAAGAAAAGGAGGATATAAAAAGAGTAGTAATGTAGTTTTGAAATATGAATGCTATCGTCACACACACATGCATCGGTGCTACTGTCACAAACTGCGTTTATTTTTATCTTTCTCATTAATGTATATTATTTATTATAAATAAGTTAGAAACATTGATTTTTTCCTCTTCGGAGCGGTTGTTAGGTGTTTACATTTTATACACACAGAAAGAATACCCAAACGTATTTTTTATGCTTTTCAGAAAAATGTATACTTCTTTTTTCTTTTTTTTCCTTGTTGTTGTTGTTGTTGTTGTTTGACAAAAAATGATTTACAAATGAACATATAACCGCAAAAATTTACGCGTCTCTCTCTCTCTCTCTCATTCTCTCTCTTACATTGTCTCTTTTTCATTTTTCATATTCATTCATCATTCTTGTTATTTATTTTTTTTATTTATTTATTTATTTATCTTTTTTTTTATTTTACTTCACAAAAATTGGGTTGACAAGAAGACCCAGTTTAGTCCCAGTTAGTCCCAATCAAATAGTATTATTTTCCAATTTTAAAATCGCGCAAACGTACACACGCATACGCTACAACACACATGTCTCTCTCTCGTATATTAGATTTCATTCATTCATACTTAAGAAGTTTTCTCTCTCTCTCTGTCTAATACATGCATACATATTACGGATATACGCCCTTATACATAGCTCTTTCTCTTTCTTCGCATCCTTCATTTTATTTCGTTTATCAAGCCTACCCCTTTTTCTCAATCCAATTTCTTCTAATCGCCTTTCACAATCCATTCGATCGAAATTTCTCAAAACTACAATGCGTTGGTTTTTGTTGTTTTCAATTCTCGACTAAATACACATTTATATATCATCTTGTCCCTTACACAATCAATTTAAATCATGCACTCTCACTGAAAACAAAGCAGTATTATTATTATTATTATTATTTTTTTAATTATTATTATTATTTTATATTATTTTTTGTTATCTCTTAATATTATAGTTTTATTCATTATATTTATATATTTATCTTTCATATAAACTCAGTTTATTGTAACCAGAGTAAATATGACATATGCTGCCCATGTACGTATGCGAGTGTATGATGTTGTGTACGTGTATCTCTTTCTCTCTTTCTCTTTCTCCCTCTCTCTTTTTTTCTTTCTTTCTTTCTTTCTTACATTCTTTTCTTTCTCTCGCTCTCTCTCTCTCTCTCTCTTTTGTTCAGACTTTTCAGATCAGCACAGTGTCGGAGTTTGGTGTACAGTGTGCTAAATGATCTTCGAACACCGCACTCTCTCTTTCTCTCACACATATACACAAATTTCTCACTCTCTTTCTTTTGCTCTCGCTCTCTCTCTCGCTCTCTCTCTCTCTCTCTCTTATTCTTTCATTTTCACCATTCAATCAAGACCTTAAAGATTTTTTATCGATGCAAGTACTTTTTAGATTGACCACTCGATAGCACAAATTTATTAATTTATTTGTTATCTCTTTCTTTTTCTAACTCTCATTTTCACTCTCGCTTGCTTTCTTTCTTTCGTTCTGTCATTTTTGGTTTCGTTCCTCTTTCTCTGTATCTCTTTCTCTCTTTCTCTTTCTCTTTCTCTCTCTCTCTCTTTCTCCCTCTTCCTTTCAAATTTCTAATAAGGGACGGTAACTTGATGCTGCCGTCATAAAGGTAAGAAACGAAAAAAGAAGTTTAAGGGAAGAAGAAGAAGAAGAAGAAGAAGAAGAAGAAGAAGAAGAAGAAGAAGAAGAAAATAGTGCCGCCGTCGAATCGAGAGCCTTTAGAGAATACAAGCAAAGTGTCGGGCAGCGCGCTTGCCATTTATGAGCAAACGCAGGCAGTGAGCAATTAATAATACATACGTACACTTTATAATATGGATACAAAGCGCGATGCCAGGGACACAAATCTTCAAGGATACGTGTCCCTTGCCACGCGACCAATTGTGCTGTGCTTTCATTGAGGGCTAGGGCCGAGCCGATTTTTATAATAGACAGGATAATACACGATTCTTTTTCATCTCATGCGTATATAATTGCATGTATGTGTGTGCACGCGTATGTGACGCGTGTGTTGTTTATGTATGTGTGCCTCTTTAGTTTCATTTATTTATTTATTTACTTATTGATTTTGATGTACGTGTGTATATATTTTGTATGGAGTTCATCTTTGCATGGTCGCATACATTAATGACAACGAACCGATACTTCGATGATTATAAAATGACACGATTGAAATCATGTTGGTCTTTATCCATGTCGAAACGCAATGTCTTTTCTTTCGTTATTTTTGTTTTTTATTTCTTTGCTGCAGCCCTCGCACCACCAACGTGCACAGCCTATTTCTTTTTTATTTTATTTTATTTTATTTATATAAATACATATATATCGCGTTTACGAGAAATGACAAGCTATTTGCACGATCTGCATTTTGTCCGGTACTCGATCAAACAGAATTTATACGTTTCA